CCGCTATCCGTGATCTCCCCACCCATCCACCCCAGTCAACATCTTCCACTTCAACTCTTAGCCTACAAATCTCAATTACAGACCTCAATATTCCATCCTTCTAATTTCTCCCAAACTAACTATGTAACTGTCTTCTTGACCTTGATAACCTCATCCCTAGTCTACCTAAGACATTATCCTCCCCACCAAATACCCAATTACTGCCCGTTTTATTTTTGGGGAGATCACCCTAAACATCTCCCATATACCTACTTTAGACCTCCCCACTCCCCCCCCCCCCCCCGGTGGGCCCCTTCCCAATTAACCCCCCCCCCCCCCCAGGTTGGCACTCTATCACATTAACCTACTCCCCCTCTCCCCTGTCTACAACCCCCTCATGTGTCCTCACCCCAGATAATCCCTACAGTCATTATGATACATTTTGTACTAATCTTTGCATATGAGATTATAAAACATTAACAAGAAACATCTGTTACCTGTGTTTGAGAAATAATTGCTTTTGTTAGAGTTTCTCTGCTTTTCTTCATGAATATTCATGATGTTGTGTTGTAAATAGATATTCTCTTGTGAGACTTCTGTCTGCTGTTTTGATCTAGCTAGCCGCTTGCATACATAATATAAAAAAAATATAATCTACAGCATGAAAATTACTATCTGTGCTATCATTTCGTTTTAAACCCTTACCCTTGTCCCGCACAAAATTATTTGTTATATTTTGATGTCAGCTTTATTTAAAATATAACAAATTTTATTTAAAATATAACAAATTTTATTTCAAATAATGCTCAATATCTTTTAAATAAGTGATATTACATCATATTTTCATATCTGTGTTCAATAGACCATCACATTTACGTTTTGAAGTAAAATTCTCCGTCATATCTAAGGCGTTGCTAGATTTATCACGATAACAGAAACCTCCGACGAAACATTTACATGTCTGTATAGAATGTCTTCATTTATTATTTATAAGTCATTGTCCGCCCGATTGATTTGCAGAGAGACACTTCTCATGGTTATATTCAGCAAAATTGAAATTGCAAGGTGAATTTGTTTGTATGATTAATTAACCATGTCCCAGTTTCAGTTATTTAGTAGGTTATATTGTGGGAAAATTTTAATTAAACGGAAATATTTAGCTGGTATATTTTGTGAGTGTGAAACACAAATGGACATATTGCAGACTTTTGTTGAGAGTTTTTCCCTCATTCACTCTATAAATCGTCCTTACCATCCGGGACAAAATTGAAGTATGGACTACATCTGAATTGTTTTAATTACCTCTTTTTAATACTCAAATATCTCTCAATAATTAATATAATTTATTTCCCGCTGTCTTAAGCTTGGAATATGTGTTATAAAATAGTAATATTTTGTTAACATGGGGCTAATGTCATCAATTCTGTTGTTTTCCTGCTATGCACAAATGATGGTTTGGGGAGGGTGACTATTTTTGGATTTATCTTTGCTGTCTGAACTTTGACCTGAAAGTAATGCAGTGCTCCACATGGCTGTAAGATCATTTTCAGGGGCTCAATAAGGGGAATTTATAGCTTTGATTTTAATATCACTGTAAGATCATTTTTAGGGGCTCAATAAGGGGAATATATAGCTTGGATTTCAATATTTATCACTGTGGGAAATTTTATCAGAATCTCAAAATAGACCTTACATCAGAAGGATTGTTTGTACAAGTGGACCTATGTGCAAGCTTATGTCATAATTATATAAGAAAAATAAAGAATGAATATGAAAAATATTAATAAAAAGATCTGAAAAGAAGGATGTTCATTTAAAAAGTCAATACAAATAATTAACATCTGAAAATTAATTTGAATATATGGAAATTGAACTGTAAAATTTGCTCTAAAGACAAAATTGATGATGAGAGTTTATTTAAAAAAATGACCAAATGTTTTGAATGATTACCGGTATGCAATATTGAATATTCATCAAATAAATGAGGCATTATTTGAGGCAGGTTTTATAACAGTGTACGATTTATCCTAGCCAATTCTCCTGTGGTGAATGCTGATTTACTTTGTATTGGTACAATATACATAGTTCGCCTGGCATTGATTTTGCTGCACAGGCAGAAAGCCAAGCTTAGAGCTAGCTGTTCTATGACTGGTAAGCTTCAGCCAGAACACAAACGGGTTTAAAATCTCAAAACATGATTACTATTTTAAAAAAAAGAATATATTGAAAATCAGACATAGTACTAATATATAATTGTGGGTTTGGTGGTAGGGGATACATAGATTTCTGATTTTTAACGAAGATGTTTTTTTTGTTTTTTTTACAGGTTAAGCTAACAATGCATTATCTAGCTCAGCCCCTATCTCATTAATCATATGAAAGACATAGCCCCTTGGGCATATCAACTTACTGGGTAATGAATATTTTGTTGACAATATTTCCATCAGCTTTCATCAAATGTTGCTAAAACAGAACTTCTTTTGGGGTCCTATTATTTTCTGCTTTATTAATCTCCTTGTGTCGATGACATTGCAAAGTTTTTCAATTGTGCGGACAAATTGTGTTCATTTTTTTGGGTTTACAATGTTTTAAAAAATATCTGTGTTATTTGTGTTTTATGAAATTGTCTGCCTTTATGTAATAATCATCTCTTTCTGGCATTCATGCATTGATGGATGACAGATATCTTTGTTTTTGTCTGATCCTATAAAAAATATTAATGGGCTGGTAAAATCAATATGGAATACTACACAGTTGACACAGGAATCCATGAATTTTGTATTAGTGTCGGCGAATATTTTTAAAAATCAATTTTCCGGAGTTCATTACATGCTTCTTAAATTAGGGTTTATAATAGAAATGAGATTCAAATCAAATCAAGCAATTTTAAATTTCCAGCTTTTGGGGAAAAAAAATCATTAGATTATTTTCTAAGCCTATCTGTGTTGCTGTCGTAAGTCATTTCTCCAATATTATTCATACAATCATTACAGAAGTGTTTTTGATATTTACATACAGAGATAAGTAATAAATAACACCATAATTATTTTGAGAAATCAATCGTAATTAAGTTAATATTATGTCGTGGTAGCATTGTACATGTCATTCTCGACCAACTAGTTACAGAAATTGCTTTGTTAGAACTAAAATTTTCTTATAGCCTTGTTAGCTGGAAAACAAAAAATCTGAATCATTTTTTATAGATACCTAATAAATAAACTAATTTACATACTTGTGAATTAACACAAAACTACAAAGCTTGTGAAAAAAACACCTGAAATATTTGTCAGTTTGTAGATTAATTCCTCAATTTAAATTGGTTCAGTTGCAAATTATATGTTGCAAGTTAACTAGGCTTTTAGTAGTTGGTTAGATCTATAACATATTATGTTGTAGGAAATATGTATGGTGCACACAGCTGTTAGCTCCACAAAAATGATCAATAGCTGGTGGTGTACAACTGGCTTAGGTCAGGGGAGGTAATCCAGAACAAAGAAATAAAATCATCACACAAAAACAGCTTTTACCAGATTTAAAAGCCCTCAAACATACAAAAAACCAGGTATTACCGGTATTCCTTTCAACCCTAGGTAACTTCAATGGACTCTACCATGCACTTATTGAGATGAGTCCACTATGGTCTACAGTGGTGAAAGGGTTAAAAACCAGAAACAAATTGTCAGTTGTACATGTATATGGATTTTTAAAATGGAAAAAAAAACGTGTTTAAAGCTAGATTTTCTGTGGAGGTTTATGAGAAATACAAATATTATGAACACTAATGTATAAACTTGATAGAAAGTCTCCTTATACTATTTGGCGTTTATTAGACCCAATCTTGAATAAGCCTGTAATGGTTTAATAATTGCAAACAGGATGAAAATGATCTATTGGAATCAATTCAATAAGAGTGTCTAGACTGTTTAAGGAAAAGTATTTATAACCACACAACGTGCAAGGAAGTTGGTACAGATAGGCTTTAATCAGGACAATATAATCAGCAATGAATTATATTTTTTCAAAAAATAGTTTTCCCCATGAATGACGTCTTTATCAAACAAGCACTGTCTATAATATTTCAAAACTTACGTAATTTGAAAAGGTTAGCATGGAAATAAATATGTAATCTTTCAAAACTTAATCAGTTGTAAAGGTTATAATGTCATTATTATAATTAGTTAAGCACACAGACATTACAAACATTCAAATTCACTTTTATATATAAGGGTTCAAAGGAATTAAATAATTTATTTAAAAATTGTGATCTACTTGTTCACAGGTGAAACATCTGATTAATGTTAATTTTCGTAATTTATGACACAGTCTAATTGTGACAGGTATGTAATAATAATAATTATTCGAGGTTCTTATATACCTCTTTATCACAACCTAGTTGGTAGGTCGTCTCAAAATGGTTCACAAATTATAATCCGTGGTTTTTAGGGCCTTCGCAACCAGCCAATATCTTTCTCATCTCCCTCGGGAGCATACATAATGATGGTAAATTAGCACTCTATGTAACCTTATACACAAGTGGTCTCAATGGAAGACAGGTTAGAAATTATCACTCTAAAAAAAAAGTTATTTTTTTATTAAACAACAAGACAGAGACCACATTATTGGGTATAATATGATTTGTTTGGCATAATAAACAAAACTGTAATCTTTGTTTACGTTGTTTTCTGTCATTGCTTGTCTTCATGGTGTTTGTTTTGAGTATTCAGCCACTTTGATTATGTTTGTTGTTGAGTTGTTGTCTGTCCTGGGTGGTCCTTATAAACAGGTTTGACTGTAGAATGATGGTTGTTGTTTTGAGTTGTCTGTCCTGGGTGGTCCATATACACAGGTTTGACTGTAGAATGATGGTTGTTGTTTTGAGTTGTCTGTCCTGGGTGGTCCTTATATACAGGTTTGACTGTAGAATGATGGTTGTTGTTTTGAGTTGTTGTCTGTCCTGGGTGGTCCTTATATACAGGTTTAACAGTAGTTTTATAATGCAGTTTGTTTCATATTTGGCACAGAATCCATCTGATGTTGATCACTGAGAAGAATGGAGGAAGTAGAAGTGACGGTTCACAGCAACTTGCCTGAGGGAGAGCCGCAGGGCACATTTCACATTATTTTAAACGAAAATTCTAAGGTCAGTGTTCTGATCCGTAAAGTTTGTTCAGACAACGCTATTCCACTGAAGAGTTCGTATGTGCTGCGAAACAAAGACGGACATGAACTGAATTGGTCAACATCAGTCAAGGAAAATGTTCAGACCAGTGGCAAAGAGTTTTATCTTTGGAACACAGGTAAGGAAACATATAATTTTGTTCTATTATGACGTCTTAGATTTAACGAGGCATCATGATGTCATACATTTTGAGCAAGATGGTCATAACTTGAAACAATCGTTGACATTCGCCCTTGAAGAAGGCCAGGAGGCCTATGATTTTTAGGTCACCTGAGCATTAGCTCAAGTGACCTATAATAATTGCTATCAGTCTGTCATGCGTCGTCCGTTAACATTTTACATTTTCAACTTAAGCTGAAATACTGGCAAAGGGATTTCATTAATATTTCATGGGAAGGTTACTGACAACTCCCTGACCAAGTGTTGTTATTTTTCGGGTCGATCAGAAATCCAATATGGCTGCCAAGGCCGCCATTTTGAAAAACTATTTCAAACTTAAAGTCAAGTTGTGCGGGGCCGATTGAACTGAAACTTTGTAGGATGATCAACTCATGGTCCTGACAAAATGTTGTTATTTTTCGGGTCAATCAGAAATTCAATATGGCTGACACGGACACCATTTTGAAAAACTATTTCAAACTTAAAGTCAAGTTCTGCTAGGCCGATCTAACTGAAACTTTGTAGGAATGATCGACTCATGGTCCTGACAAAGTGTTGTTACTTTGCGGGTCTATCAGAAATTCAATATGGCTGACACGGACGCCATTTTGAAAAACTATTTCAAACTTAAAAGTCAAGTTCTGCTAGGCCGATTGAACTGAAACTTTGTAGGAATGATCGACTCATGGTCCTAACAAAGTGTTGTTACTTTGCGGGTCTATCAGAAATTCAATATGGCTGACACGGACGCCATTTTGAAAAACTATTTCAAACTTAAAGTCAAGTTCTGCTAGGCCGATTGAACTGAAACTTTGTAGGAATGATCGACTCATGGTCCTGACAAAGTTTTGTTAATTTTTGGGTCGATCAGAAATACAATTTGGCTGCCATGGGCGCTATTTTGAAAATACCTATTTCAAACTTAAAAACAAGTTCTGATAGGCCGATCTAACTGAAAATCGGTCTAGGAAAGATCAGCTCAAGGTCCTGACAAACTTAAGTTAACGTTATACTTAACAATTTTTTACTCAAATTGGTACATATTTCAACAACAAAAATAAATACTGTAGGACTCAGGTGACCGTTAAGGCCCATGGGCCTCTTGTTTGTTTCTGCAATATTGTTTCTTTTCACATATTTTATTAAAAAAAACACCTAATTTGTGGAATTATTCTTCCGTGGTTTTATGCTTGTAAAGTAGAAATACAAACTAAGCTCTAGTTGTGATTGAAGCACCTTATGCTGATCACAAACCAGGTAATCTTAAACACGATCCTGATCCCAGTATTATGCCTTTGTGAAGTATGAAGACTTCCATGATAATCAATACATGTATTTGTCATTTTTTGTCAATTCAAAACATATAACATGTAAAAAAAAAAATCATCTGCAGAAAACATCATTTTTTTACCACTCATTTATTGCTTTCCTTTCGTACTGGAATTTTGGAAATTCCAAATTATCTGGGTTCGAATGGCTTTTGTTTATCTGGGATGATATACCTATGATTTGTATTGAAGTTAAGGTTACATGCTACATTTGTAACTTATGCTACTTTACAGATCATACCTGTTATTTGTGTTAGAGTTAAGGCTATATGCTACCTGACACATCATACCTGTTATTTGTGTTATGTTAAGGTTATATGCTACCTTACACATCATACCTGTTATTTGTGTCAGAATTAAGGCTATATGCTACCTTACACATCATACCTGTTATTTGTGTTATGTTAAGGTTATATGCTACTCACACATCATACCTGTTATTTGTGTTAGAGTTAAGGCTATATGCTACCTTACACATCATACCTGTTATTTGTGTTATGTTAAGGTTATATGCTACCTTACACATCATACCTGTTATTTGTGTTATGTTAAGGTTATATGCTACCTTACACATCATACCTGTTATTTGTGTTATGTTAAGGTTATATGCTACTTAACAGATCATACCTGTTATTTGTGTTAGAGTTAAGGCTATATGCTACCTGACACATTATAACAGTGATTTGTGTTAGAGTTAAGGTTATATGCTACCTGACATGTTATAGCAGTGATTTGTTTTAGAGATTAGGATATACACTAAATACCTGTGACCTGAATTAGAGTTAAGGCTATATGCTACCTTACATATTAGTAAGTTTATATAATATGCTCCTGTCATACACCCATAAGCACTAATGTAATTTGTATTAGGTAATTAGAAACTTTTAATTAGTCAGATATTCAGAAATGCGTACGAATTAGAGTGTTACTCTATGTATGTCATAGTTTTCAGATTTGACATAGATAATTTACCAAATTATCATTTATCAAAGATATTGGGCAGGGTTGTTGAAGGTGACTTATATGTGCCCCTTTGCCCCCAGCAGAATCAGAAGATTTCTTGGATAAAAAACCAAGAATAGGCATGATGTGCCCCATTAGAAGATGGTAAATGGGAACTTATGGGGGGGCCCCTTGAAGAATGTTGGGTGTTATTCCTTGACTTCTATCTACTTAGGGGATATTGAATTGACTAACATTGATCTGCTGGCCCAGTTGCAATACTTGGGACTTTTATCTTCTCTCTCTATTTTCGGCATTGTGTCCTTAAAAGTCTCCCATCTACAATAGGCACTTGCCTGAGGACAATCATTCTTTTTTACTAAATTCTTGTATCAATTTTAAAGAAAGGTGTTTGTTACAGTATCTGGTTTATATAGATCTAAAAAATGTGAAAAATATTCCTGATGGAAAAACATGTGTCAGATTATTTTTGAAATGAAATTATATAATCGTTTATTCACGAGAATGATATCGGTTGTGTAAGTGTATATTTTATCTACATGAGATATCTACAGTGTGTAGGGACTTATAGGTAAACAACTAGTTCTACACTCCCCTCCCTACACAGCCTTCACACACCACACATACAAACAAAGCCTGGCCCATGTCAGGTCATAAATTTTGTGACCCTTGTGTTTACTCCCAAATATTGTTAGTTTCCTGTGACAGACGGCCAGCTTACCTGACCAAAAACGTTCTGCCCTATCTGAAGGTGTAAGCTTACTCCAGATCTCGGTGATCTGATACCATCTGAGTGTTCTAAGATTAGGGCATTTAAATTCACCACATAATCCCTAATTGTTTCCTCTACTGTTTAAACGAGACTTGTCGGAGATATATGACACAAGAGTTTTGGTTTTGTGGCTGATTTACAGTGTGTGTTTTTTTCATTGTTCCACATTTAATTCTGTCTTAGTTCATTTCAGGATATTTAATATCCTTAACGACAATGGTTATTCAACCATTGCCAGATACCAGAATTTTTTTTCAAGTAAACTATTATAAAAAAATATATTATGATGAAGTTTATTTATAGAATCAATTTTTACAACCAATAAGATAGATAACAATTAGAAATGCAGTGTCTTATCAGAAAAAATGTGATTGGGTTTTTTGGCAGATTTTAATAATAAATACAAAATTTGACACTTTTCTGATACGGATTTTTTTTCTCAAATTATTTATCCAATATTGATATCAAATAATTTTATCCAATTCAGTAAAAATATTGATAATAGAAATTTCTTTAGAAACATACATGATAGTTTATAAACCTGCAAATACACTATATGACATCAAGGTATTGTTATGGCTATGGAAAATGATATTGTTGTGTTGCAGTTTTAAACCGTTAATTTGCCTCATGCATATATATATCGTAGATATTCGAGAAATGATCAGGAGGCCCGACAGCGATGATTAATGAAATTCTGTATTGAATACTACAGATGTCATTGATAATTTGATTATCGCTTTTAGAAATACACATTTTTAAAACCGATAATTATGGCGTGCGGTTGCCTCCATTTCGTAGCTGTGAAAATATCTTTAACATTCATGAATCAAAGGTATATTTAGTCAGATCAATAGAAAATTTTTAGAAAGCGATATTATACAATTCCTGGAGCTGGCGTTCACATCAGATATAAATTGTATTTCCTATTGATTTTGAGTCGGGTTCGGCTTGGAGGACTAGAAGATGGTTCTATACATATTTATTTCATCCTTGTATCCTGTATAATGATGTCAATACAGAATTGTCGGTTAGTTTATGATAATAGTATAGATGACAACATTGGTAATTCGAAATGTGGTGAAAACAACAGAATCAATACCAATGTAAAATTAACGGCCATGTTTAAATCTTTTTCTCATTCTCAATGACAAAGCAGTTTGTGTTGTAAGCTGTGTCTGATGTTTAACCAGGGCAAAACAACGAAAGAATTGTGATAAATTTTGACTTCAAATTACGTATTTAAAGAAATCGAATGGTGGGTTAAGGAGAAATTGGAAAATGTTGAGATTGTACTTATTGGTTGATAAACTTGTAGATAACAGGTGTGACATGAATTTTATTTTTATAGTTACTCACTTGTAATATTAAGCATGGCAAAGAATATTGGAATTTTGCAAACTTCAGATGTGTGTCTTCTCATTTTCTCTGAAGCACCGGAAAGAAGGAGAAAGATAGATTAGTGTTTTGAACGTTCTGCTCTGTTTTTATGTTCCACAAGCTAAGTTCGAAAATGATATTCATTGAGCTCTGTCCTTCTGATAACACACTGTGTCTGTCCAGGATCTTGTGGATAAATGTCATCCTTAACATTGGCCTTTTGACAAGAAAATGTCAAATCCATTTGTTATCTATTTTGTATAAAATTACTGTAAGAATTTGGTGCTGAATTTAAAAACTGTCCGGTACTCCTTATTTGACTTGTGAGTTATATCAATAAACTCATTTTTAAATCAGTCACCCCTGAAATTTCATAATGAACTATTCCAACTTTTGAATTGGAAGAGTTCAAATGTGTCTTTAGGGGATGAATGAGTTAAACGCCCAAGCTAGGATGATTCCAAGTTTAGATGCTTGTCATAAAATAATGCTTTGTTTGTTTTTAATTGAACAGAGCTGATAGCAGAAAGGAGTGTCCCTTTCGAAAGCAAGAATAAAATCTGTGTATATATAAATTAATTTTCAGATTGAATTTAGATGAAATTTTGTTATAATTATATATATATATATAACAATAACATGTTTAGAACCTCAATTTGATTTATTCAAACTTTATGAGCAAGAATGAATGGATTAGGATTCACAGCCAGTGTAAGTTAAATGTTTACATAAAATATATTGACTCACGTTACATTTACAAAAAAAATAAAGTTTTAAACAGAATCATTCCTGTCAGCTTGGAATGAGTGTGACAAATTCACCATGATTAAATTTTTTCTGCACATTTTGGTTTAACCTAACAGAATTGGTTTTATTGATCCCACTTTGTCTAACGATATTACGATTGAACAGGTAACAATTTATTTTCTATTCAGAAGAGAAACGATTCTCCTCAGCTATATTTACAGCACTCCGGTCTTTGTAGTAGGTACTTAAGGGTAGCGTGTATGTAGGTCACGCTCCGATTGTTAGGATAATGCTATCTTTAAACATACAAACCATTGTCCAGGTTTCAACACGTTTAAGTAACTATGAATTTAGCAGTTTCTAAAACCTTGTCAATAACTCATAGCCATTCCGAGGGATGTCAGTTACAGCGCTAGTGTAGATATCGTTTAACTAGATATAGTCAAAATTGTTGGTTTGATTTTTTTTAAAATTTGTAATTTGTATTTTTAAAAATATTTTGTTGATACAATTACAGAATATATTGCTAGATAGGAACATGATTTCTATGATTTAAGAGATAGTTTTAAAATTGAGCTCAGAAATAAACCCTTGTTAATTTTACAAATATTTTTTATTATTGGTTGTTAAATTTTCTGTTTGGTAGACTGTACTTGTTTACTGATATGTCCCGTGTATGTAATTTTTTCGTACCCTGAATCTTACTTATTCAACCAGAATTTTAACACATTAATGCCAATTTAAACACTTTACAGAAACAAATTATATTGAATTATTCATGTATTTGACAATGATGTGGTATAGATATAGATATAAGCTATATGATAATCATGATATATTGAGTTCCTTATTGAGTTGATTCAAAACAAGGGGGAAAATCTCGATGAAATAGAGCTAAACAAAAAATGAAAAATTCTTGCTTATATGCCAGAGGCAATTTATGAGTAAGTGGATTTTTACCTGATACAAACTTGGTTTTCACTGATGACTAAGTATCAGAAAAGCCTACATATTTATTTATGATTGATAGAATTGATGGAATATTGTGTAAATAAATGTACGTTTTTATCAATATTGTTATAAGTGGTGTCATGGAGGAGCTAGACCCTGTAGGCATATCAGAGGTTTTGAAATCTATCAGACCATTACATCAGACAGTTGGTCCTTAGGTCATATATTGACACCAGTGGCAGTTAAAACTGAAGAGGTCCACACCAATATTTATCATCACCGTGATCTGTGTCAATATTGTAGGTACATGTGCATGATAAAGGGATTGGTTTAAACATAGAAAAACATACACATGTTCAAAATAATGCAAACGAAAATACTATGGCATTCTTCAACAACAAACATCTGTGTTTGTAAATATATTTATACAAATATCTTTATCACAGAATACTGTTACGTTTCCAGAAGTTTTATTAAAAATATTTTTCAATATAATGGAAATATATTTGTACAAATATCTTTATCTTTAGAAAACTATTAAAATTCCAGATTTTTTTCTGAAATATTTATTTTATGTTTATTTGAATAATTCAGGTGAAAAGATGAAATGTATTTGTACAAGTATCTTTATCTTAAAAAACTATTAAAATTCCAGAATTTTTGATAGAATATTTCATCTATGCATATTTACATAATTGAAAATATTGAAATACATTTCAATGGAAATTTATTTGTGCAAGTATCCCTATCTGAGAATACTTATCAAAATTCCAGAATTTTTATTCTATTTTTTTTTCAATTTATATTTGCAAAATTAGGATGAAATTTTAATTGAAATATACTTGTAAAGGTATATCGTTATCAGTGAGTAGTGTACTCGCATATCAAATGAAAGTATGTTTTCATTGTATGTGTAAAAGTGTGTGGTACATGTATTGATACAGAGCCTGCATGTAGCTTGATGTCTCCTTTTCAAATATTTGAAAGAAAACTTATTAGCTTTAAGAATAGGGATAGAATATAGGGTGACTAGAAAATTTGTTGATTAAATCAGATATATTATTGTGTATTGCATATCAGAATTGAAATTGTTATGGTATTTGGTTTAAAATATTGTCTTTATTTTATTGGAATAGAATTTGTTATGACATTTTTTGTTTGTAAAACACATTTTGTATTTATTGCGTTGTAATTGTGTTGCTTTTTTTCAATTAAGTCTTTAATTAGGAAGATAAGATAATGAGGGCTCTTCAGTTCCTTTGCAGATTTACCATATTTTTATGCAATGTCAAGGAAATAAATCCTGGTCCTTCCTTGTATCATAATTAATGTCCCTGAAACAAGCTACGGTCGCACACAACATGGGTGTGTAGACTAGCAGACTGGTATAAGGGAGATAACTCAGTAAATTCTGTATTATTTACACTGATCATTTGAATCCACCTTAGACTCAATGCTGTTCTGAAAGCTACTGTATATTTGTTTTCTTATTTCCTAACAAGATGTATATTGACATTTCATTTCCTTAAATCCAAAAGAAAATGAACAAATTTTGTAAACCTTAATTATCAATTTGTATGCCCCCGCCATAAAATGAGGGGGGGGCATGTAGTGTTTCCCATGTCCGTCCCGCCCCATCCCGATTCAATGTCAACACTACTATTTATAAAACATCAAACTAATTTCACATGGTGACGGGAGCATTCATGTCTTACAGACATTTTCTAGTTTACCAAGAGATTCCTGTTAAGAATGACAACTTTATTGTTCTACACGAATATAACAATATCTGAAAGAAATGTTTGAATATATTCTTTTCATGAAATGAAGTGTATGTCTCCAGGTAAATTCTTATAATTTCCACACCTAATTGCATAAGGTTGATTACATAATTTAGACAATGTTTGGATTACTGTAAACGTGGACATTTTCATGCGTGAAAATATTCACTTTGTGACCGTTGAAATCGATCAAGGTGAAGAATTGTTTATGTTTGCGATCTATATATGAAATATACCTATAATCTGTATGATATTCCAATAAATATTTGTTTGTGGATATTTTCGTGCTAATTTACTTAAGGCGAAAAACACGGGCATTTCCACAACACGAACAATTTCCACTTTTACAATACCTGGTAGTTGACTTATAATGTCGGCTTTGAGTGTTTTTAGCTCACCGGGTCCGTCGTCCGTCGTCTGTCGTCCGTCCGTCAACAATTTCATTAAACGACTTCTTCTTCTTAACCACTGATTGGAATTTAACTAAATTTGACTGGAAGCATCCCTAGGTGGTGTTGATTCAAAATTGTACAAATGGTTGGGCTGACCCCCCAGGGGGCTGAGGGGCAGGGCCAAAAGGGGGCAATTTGGCTATATGGCATGCCTTAAGCGACATCTCCTCTGGAACTAAGAGATGGATATCAACCATATTTGACTGGAAGCATCCCTAGGTGGTGTGGATTCAAAATTGCACAAATGGTTGGGCTGACCCCCCAGGGGGCTGAGGGGCGGGGCCAAAAGGGGGCATTTTGGCTATATTGCTACCAACGACTTCTTCTGTAGAACTATGCACTGGATATNGGCTGAGGGGCGGGGCCAAAAAGGGTTATTTAGCTATATTACTTTAAGCGACTTCTTCTCTGGAACTAAGAGATAGATATCAACCATATTTGACTGGAAGCATCCCTAGGTGGTGGGGATTCAAAATTGTACAAATGGTGGGGCTGACCCCCCAGGGGGCTGAGGGCTGGGCCAAAAGGGGGCAATTTGGCTATATTGCTATAAACGACTTCTATCCGTAGAACTATACCATGGATATTGATCATATTTGGTCGGAAGCATTCATGGGAGGCAGGGATTCAAAATTGTACAAATGGTGGGGCTGACCCCCCGGGCTAAGGGATGGGGCCAAAAAAATGTATTACTTGGAAATGGTTGAGATCCCCACTATATAACCATATATATAATTGCTGAGTATAAAGAGAGGAATGCACATTTGCTTCCAGGATGAACCTAGGGTCTGGCCCCACCCTTGGAGACTTAACCCTTGGGTCATAACTTTGAAACGGTTAAGATCCCCACCCCAAAACTATTTATAAAATTGTTGGGCATAAAGAGGAGAATGCAGTCATGATATTAGAATTGACCCCAGGGTCTTCCCCACCCTTGCAGACATAACCCCTGGGTCATAACTTTGAAATGGTTGAGATCCCCAACCCAAAACTATATATACAAACACTGGGCAAAAAGAGACAAATGCAGTCATGATATTAGAATTGATCCTGGGGTCTGGCCACAACCCTAGGGACCTAGTTTCTGAGTCACAGCTTGGAAACAGTTGAGATCCCCACCCCATAACCATACATAAAATTGCTGGGCATAAAAAATCAAATACAGATAGGCTACAAGGATTGGCCTTGGGGTCGGGCATATTCCCTTGGATCTAATTTGGAGAATATTTTGCCATGATTGCTTAGATATCCAGGTGAGCGATACAGGCCCTTTGATCCTCTTGTTTTCAGGAATGGCACACATGTTTATTCATTGATGTCGGTATTGATGTAAGACTAAGGATTAAGGTTCTGATTCGTTTTGTAGCAGAGGAGGTGACAACAACGGGACGGAAATGTGACTGTAACATTTGGTGGTTCATTGGCGGGATAAGTCTGGTGATCGGCATCCTTGGTCTCATAGCCATCATAATCATGTTTCTTCAAAACGGGAAAACGGAATATGAGGTATTTAATCTTGATGAAACAAACTGTTAAATTGTGGCAATCTGGCTTTTTCTATCAAATGTTATCAGAGTTGAATTCAGCCATATATACCTACCATTACTGCTTACTAAATATATAATGTATTCTCCGTGTTGTCTATCTATTTTCCCTGTTCATGTGTGAAAAGTAAATGAAGGCAAAAGAATTTCTGGATTTACAGTATTTGAAAAGTGTTCAGAGTAGTGATTAACTGGGTAGGATTCACCCCTGAAATTTCAAAATGAACTATTCCAACATTTGAATTGGATGGGTTCAAATGTGTCTTCAGGGGTGAATGAGTTAATGTAAAAAATGAAAAATGAGTTGTCTCTCCTTTTACTCAGAATTTTGTTAATCCTTGTTAAATTTACAGCAAAATTTTTTTTTTCAATATTTTGTGGTATGTTTTTATACACCTATCACGTGAGTGGGTAGGCAGGTTGGCTGGCACACATGGTGTCCGCTTGATATTTCGAGTTATTTTTAATGGATTAACTTCAAACTTTATAGGAAGGTTATATTAATTACTGTGAGAGCTCAAACAAATCGATAACCACCAGTCTTCTCTTCACTACATATTCGAAACAAATAACACAACGAGCAAATCACATTTGCCTGACCAGCCTGTCGCGAATATAGTGCAGTCGGCGTTTAATTTTGCAAACATAACAAACAATATGTATGAGCTTGTACAGAAGCTCCACACGCCACTTACGTGAGCGAAAAACAATCGCTCCTAACTCGCACACTGCGCCCACCCGTGAACGTCTCGGACGCTCCATACGTGTATCCCCATCGCAGATGTACTCGCTCGCTCAGGAAAAACTGGATATAGCACCCGGAAACCTGCGTCCAAACGGCAGAAAATAATTTCCCTCTGGAATAACAATTATTTTCCTTGCGATGTACATCTCCGGGGCGGCACAGAACCAGTACCAGAAAAAACAAAAACCCACCAAAAGGCGAACGCACAAAGCGACATAACAAAACAACTACCGTACACCCACAAAAACACCCCCCGCTATGTACGAAAAACCCTATTGTAAAGCGCGCCCTAAATTTCCGCCAATCCGAAAACGTGTCACCTATCAAACGGGACGGATATAAACTGTAAATGCGATGCTAAATTTTGTGTTTGACCGCACTGGTAGAACGACAGCTAGAGAATGAACTCACCCCGTGTACGCCACGAGTACACCGGCCCACTGGCCGCACGTGCTGCTCGTGCCAGAGAAGACAAATAATTCCCTCTATACTCCGAACCCCGGGAATATTTAAGTCTTCTCTTCACTACATATTCGAAACAAATAACACAACGAGCAAATCACATTTGCCTGACCAGCCTGTCATGAATATAGAGAAAATCACAAAGAAAGGGCAAGTAGAAAACTAGGTAAAAACATTTCAAATGCCGAATTTTACAACCCTAATTTTTTCGTTACAGCTAAACGTTTCTGAAGCGAATCTGCCACGTAACCGTCTTTGCTGAACTCGCTTTTCCAGCGACCGTGCCTCTTAAAACATCGGTCGTCGACTCCGTTATTAGCGGCTGTCGTAGCCCCTCCCGCTCGAAGCGAATGCAAGCCTAACTTAGCTTCACCGGAGACCAACCTCAATCTTTTGAGCATTGCCTCCTTAGCTCCTGTGTAGCTGAGTGCTTTGTTTTTGTTAATAAGCTTGCATGTTTTTCCGGAGCGATAAACTTGTTTAAACAAAAAATCTTCCGATCCCAGACTAATTTCTGCCGATTCTATGTACCTTAATAACATCGAATATGGGCAAGCGACCGTGATGCCCTTACTTATCACTACTTCGTGGCCGAAACGATACTGGTCTGTTTTGCTCTTCCTAATGACTAACGTTAAGTATTCGCCGAATAACTTCACGTCGGAACAACGTAAGCTACTAAGCTCGTTAAAACGTAAAAACCCAGAGAAACAAATTAAAAGCATTGACAAATCTCGTACTATCAACAAGTCGTTTGATTTAGAATATGTCCCACACAAATTAATCAGCATGTCACCGGTAACCGGTTCCTTCTTACAAGTCGGCTTCCTGGCTACACGTTTGGATGTTTCCACCAAGCTCCGAATGAATGAATTAGTTGTAGGGTCGGGGTGACCGCTGATATTGTGCGCCCATTTGATGGCATACGTCGCTGATGACACCGTAGAAAATGTGGATCCGTTATCTTACAAATAGCTCAAATACACCGCTACGTGAATCGGTGATGCAGGAAGGGCTGAAAAACCATGAGCCGAAATAAGCTGCTCCCACCTTCTGAATGCGCCATAATACTTTGAGTTTGTGCTTATACTCCTACTCTGTAACAGCCTACCAGCCATACCCTTTGCCATCTGGTGCAGAGAGGAACCTTCCGCGATGCCCGAGGCCTCCAATGCGTCGTTTATCGACTTCTTCAATCTTATGCCTGTTAACAAAGGGAAACAAACGTATAAGCGTAACGTATACGTGAACCGGAAACCACTGTCCTAAAATACTATCCTAAAGGTAATCATGTCAAAACCCAAAACACTCCTTCCGAAACACCCGTTTTCCCCCCTCCCCCTTGAGGTGACCTCCGTGTTTGAAAGCAGACGATAATCTGCGATAAAACCCTCAAACGCCCCTTCGGGGCATAATATTGGCCAGTATGCCGCGCTCTCCCATAGCGGGACAATCAGAGTCCCGTGGGCCCCCTCGCATTTCATTTTAGATATAACCTGACAAATGAGCCTTGGGGGTGGCACTAACCAGTTGTTTACCCCCTGCCATGTAACTGTGAACGAATCCATGGCTTCGGTGCCCAGGCACCATCACCTGGAATTAAAACGTATGCACTTGCTATTGTAATCCGTAGCAAAACGATCAACTAGGTGTGGCCCCAGCATGCCTCACATAAATCAAACACCCATGCCTGTACTGACCAGTCGTCACAATCCTTACACCTGCTTAAATAATCGGCAGTTTCGTTTCTTTCCCTAGGTAGCCATTGCGGAGTGATGTCTATGCTATTTTCGTGACACACGTCATTTACTTCGCATGCTATAACTTGTAAATCTGATTTTCTACTCCCTGTTTTCACTATGGAACAAACGTTCTTGTTGTCAGTCAATAACTTAACATGCTTACCTCTGATCGAGTCTACCTTGTCAAAGATTACCCTTTTCATAGCCTCCAACTCCCTCCAAGTTGAGCTATATGTTTTCTCTCTTTCGTTCCACGTGCCTATTGATACGCGGCTGTCCATGTGGCACAAATCCCCTACTGAGGGGAGACTTACCTCTTGACCCTGTGAGAGTGTCACAGCTGCCTCGATGTCGCTGACTGCGTGACCACCACGAAGCCCCCCTCCATGAGGGATGGAAATTATACTACTTCCGTGCGGTGGTCCCTGGTTCGGAACACTCTTTAAATGTACCTGACCCCCTGAGGGTCGACCCATACCAGAGGAACCAAACAACTGGCTATCCAAAAAAAACCTGGCACCCGCGGTGCTGAGCCCTTGACCTCCACGAGGTCCACCCTCGCTCGGGGTACTGCGAAACTGGACTTCCGTAAGCTGACCCGCGCCGGGTCAGGCAAACTGCTGGCCTCCTGAAGGCCGCCTAGCCCCTGAGATAAACTTTCGACCCCCCGAGCCGACCAGGGTACTATCATCAAGACCTCCTGCAGGTCGCCCCTCATAGGGATTACTACTGTAGAATTTACGTGTATCTGCAATCCTACCTGTGTCATCCACCAAGGGGGACACCACTGCTGTAACAAGCGCCACGCCTTCATGCGATATGTCTGTGTCAACATGGTCCGTGTCTAACGGTAAACTTTCCCATGTGCTACATACCTGTGTGTTGCGTACGACATCACATTGGACTGGTCTATCTACATGCTGTAGGTAGCCCCCGTATTCTTCTCCGGATGCGTCGGTGCAAACCACAACGTCACATTGTTTCGCCACGTGTTCTTTTAACTGTTACTGTTACCATTACTGTTAAAAGTTTGTAAGTTAAACAACCAAAACTCAATTTCATCTAAGGCCCCGGGTGTGAGCATAACACACGCGTTCCAACTAGCTCTGGCCGACACACACCTGTATAGCTTGCGCGTGCGAAGTCGCGCTAGTGGACCGACCACACCCTGCATTGATATGATTCGACCAACGATGCCTGCCACGTGCCTAGCTGCGTAAATAAGCCTACCGCTCTGGGTTACCTGTGTCATAGTACCTGACAAACAAAACAAAAGCCTGTCAATCCGCTCCGACGTGATTCTAACCATGCCCTCCTCCATCGACCACGTGTATCCTAACCACGTGGCGAACTGTGACGCCACCCACTGGCATTTGTTTTCGGCTATCACGAAACCGTAATCTGTCAGTTCCTGCCTGACGTACCTGCTAGCCTCGTTGGCTCCGCCCTCTGTCTGATGACCTCCTATACCGTCGTCCAGGTACATGGCCAACCTATGGCCTGACGCGCGAATGGATTTGACCACCTGTCGCAAAACTTTGGTAAATATGTAACCCGCCGTCGCTATACCGAAAGGGAGAACATTGTAGACGAATGTTAGCGTTTTGCCATCGATTGCGTACTCGAAACCTAAAAAAGTGCGATGTTCGGGGAAAATCTTAATATGGTGATATGCCGATTTGAGATGAAACGTAAACAGATAATCGCCTGTTTGAAGCATTTCCCTAGCTACTCTAACATCATCGTATTTGAATCTGAATTTATGCAAGAACGGGTTAATGTGCCTACAATCCAAGACGAGACGTGGCTTTCCGGATCTATTGTACGCTACCGTTAACGGATTTGTGACCCGGGTACCTAACGGGACTTCTGAGACGCAACCCAGTCTTAATAATTTTTTAATCTCTGTCGCGACGAATTCGGGGTTATCTCGTGACGACTTATTATTATGCATGTGCGCATCGGGTGGTATCTCCCTGAACGGAATTTTATACCCTCTGCCGATGATTGACAGTACCGTCTCGTTAGTACCTTTGTCCAACCAATGCCGTATGTTACCTTTTAATCTACCAACCGGTGAACTATCGATGTCCGAACATTTACCGTTATGAGTATCGGAATCGACCGCATCCTCGTGCTGACCTCTGACCTGTACAGGCTGGGACGAAATCTCGCCCACCCTTACCTTGTTCCCGGTGAACGATTTGAACCCCTGTGTAATAAAAACTTTACTTATCTTATAGCCCGGCGTATTTACTGTGGCCCCTGAGGTTCCCGGACACTCCTGTCTCCAATGGCCCATCTTTCCGCACCCAAAGCATGTGCCCGGCCTGAAACCGCTCCGGGGAAGGCTATTGCCCATCTCCTGCATTGAGATGACGTTAACGTTGGCGGGGGGTCTCGTTGCTGTCGCAGCACGGTTGTACGGAGCGTACCTGCCCCTGCCCCTGGTCGATTTAGCTTTTAAAACCTTAGCTTTTCTGTTAGCTCTGGTTTGGGCCCGGTCCATCTTCTTCTCGTCTTCGGAGTCGGACACTATGGGGTTTAGTATATATTCGTCCACAGTTTTCCAACCGCCCTCTGAACTGTCGGCTAACTTTACAAGCTTATTGCGATAGTCTATCATAGCCATACCTTCCTCAATAGAAACTCTGGTGGCATCGCCGTCCGTAGTCGCGGTGTGAGCAGCCTCCGCTATTTTAGCCCGCACTTTCCCGTTGAACTTATGCTGTTCCTCACAACTCCTGCTCTTGAACTTGTAGGTGTCCGTGTTTAGGATAGTTTGCTGTATTTTTTCAGAATTATCATTCATCTTCTTTTCAAAGGAATTCAATTTTAAAGAAATTAAATTGTCCAAGTGAGATAGCATCTCGTTTTGTAATTATGTAATTGAGCTGAGACCTGCGCAGATTCCTGAGTACGAAGATCTTCCTCCATTTTGTGTTTGACCGCACTGGTAGAACGACAGCTAGAGAATGAACTCACTCCGTGTACGCCACGAGTACACCGGCCCACTGGCCGCACGTGCAGCTCGTGTCAGAGAAGACAAATGACAGGCGTTTTATGTACTGCTTTGCGGTAACCTTGTTTGTGATATTGTATATTTACAGTACGGAGTAGTGATGGATGCTGGGTCCAGCCACACAACCCTGTATGTTTACAAATGGTCCGGCGAGAAATACAAGGACACGGCTCTGGCAGTGCAAGCAGATTTCTGTAAAGTTTCAGGTAAGGGACGAGTGCCGGTATAGTCATAGAAAAATAAAGAATTGAAAAATTGGACTTATACTCAAATTAGGTAAAAATCCAAGATGTGTAGGATCCCCAAGTGTGATATACCTGTAGCAGTGAGGAAACAGTTCAAGCATTGAGTGCCGTCTTTTCTGCTTTATTTTAAAATAGTTTTTTTCACAGGCTTTCAGTGTGTCTGAACTAGGTGTTTTTTTCTCAATAAACATGGTTGATTTAAGCTTCTGAACTAGGTGTTTTTTCTCATTAAACAAGGTTGATTTAAGCTTCTGAGGTTTTTATTGGTGTTATATTGTTAAGCAAGGTAAATTATGTAAGCCTAGAGGGTGTTTTCCAGTTCTCACTAGAAACCAATATCAGGCCAGTAATCTGTCCACATTAAATGAACAATTCTGGGTCAACAGGTAAAACTGGTTGGTCATAAGGCCTGGAGCATTTTAATGGTTATACTTGGGGTTTTCTGGGGGTGGGGGGGGGTGT